TCCTGAAGGGAATAGGGCGTATCCTGCTGCCTGAGTTCCCCTTGAGTTCTCAGTGGAGGTGGATTTGGGCAGAGAACTTGGATTTCCCCAGAACGTGATTGTAGACGGCTGGTGTGAGTTCGGGAATAAAGAGTTGCTGTTTGAATCTACAAGCTGTGTGGTGGCTCGTGATTGTGTGCCCAGCCAGACTGCGGCATTTGTGCCCAGCCAGACAGTGGCAATTGACAAAACTAAAAGTTGGTTCTTTGAAAAAATAAATAAAATCGACAGACCCTTAGCCATGCTAACGAAGAGAAGAAGAGAGAGAACTCAAATTACTAGCATACGGGATGAAAAAGGCAATATCACAACAGACACTTCAGAAATACAGAAGATAATTAGAAATTATTTTGAATCCTTATACTCCAATAAATGAGAAGATAGTGAAGGCATCGATAAATTTCTTAAGTCATATGATCTGCCCAGATTGAGTCAGGAGGATATAGACAACCTAAACAGACCAATATCAATTGAGGAAATAGAAGAAACCATCAAAAGACTACCAACTGAGAAAAGCCCAGGACCGGATGGGTATACAGCAGAGTTTTACAAAACCTTTAAAGAGGAACTAATACCAATACTTTTCAAGCTACTTCAGGAAATAGAAAAAGAGGGAGAACTTCCAAATTCATTCTACGAGGCCAACATCACCCTGATACCTAAACCAGACAAAGACACTTCAAAGAAAGAAAACTACAGACCAATATCTCTAATGAACCTAGATGCAAAAATCCTCAATAAAATTCTGGCGAATCGGATACAAAAACATATCAAAAAAATTATGCACCATGATCAAGTAGGATTCATCCCTGGGATGCAAGGCTGGTTCAATATACGGAAATCAATAAATGTTATTCACCACATCAATAGACTTAAGAATAAAAAAGCATTCGACAAAGTACAGCATCCCTTTATGTTCAAAACTCTAGAAAAACTAGGGATAACAGGAACATACCTCAATATTGTAAAAGCAATCTATGCTAAGCCTCAGGCTAGCATCATTCTGAATGGAGAAAAACTGAAGGCATTCCCTCTAAAATCTGGAACAAGACAGGGATGCCCTCTCTCACCACTTCTGTTCAACATAGTTCTCGAAACACTGGCCAGAGCAATTAGACAGACGAAAGAAATTAAAGGCATCAAAATAGGAAAAGAAGAACTTAAATTATCACTATTTGCAGTTGACATGATTCTATGCCTAGCAGACCCAAAAGGGTCTACAAAGAAACTATTAGAGCTAATAAATGAATTCAGCAAAGTGGCAGGATATAAAATCAACACGCATAAATCAAAGGCATTCCTGTATATCAGCGACAAATCCTCTGAAATGGAAATGAGGACAACCACTCCATTCACAATATCCTCAAAAAAAAATAAAATATTTGGGAATCAACCTAACAAAAGAGGTGAAAGACTTATACAATGAAAACTACAGAACCCTAAAGAGAGAAATAGAAGAAGATCTTAGAAGATGGAAAAATATACCCTGTTCATGGATAGGCAGAACTAACATCATCAAAATGGCGATATTACCAAAAGTTCTCTATAGGTTTAATGCAATCCCAATCAAAATCCCAATGGCATTTCTTGTAGAAATAGAGAAAGCAATCATGAAATTCATATGGAAAAATAAAAGACCCAGAATAGCAAAAACAATGTTAAGCAGGAAGTGTGAATCAGGCGGTATAGCGATACCAGACTTCAAACTATACTACAGAGCAATAGTAACAAAAACAGCATGGTACTGGTACCAAAACAGGCGGGTGGACCAATGGTACAGAATAGAGGACACAGAAACCAATCCACAAAACTACAACTATCTTATATTTGATAAAGGGGCTAAAAGCATGCAATGCAGGAAGGATAGCATCTTCAACAAATGGTGCTGGGAAAACTGGAAATCCATATGCAACAAAATGAAACTGAATCCCTTTCTCTCGCCATGCACAAAAGTGAATTCCAAATGGATCAAGGAGCTTGATATCAAATCAGAGACACGGCATCTGATAGAAGAAAAAGTTGGCTACGATCTTCATACTGTGGGGTCGGGCTCCAAATTCCTCAATAGGACACCCATAGCACAAAAGTTAATAACTAGAATCAACAAATGGGACTTACTCAAACTAAAAAGTTTTCTCTCAGCAAAAGAAACAATAAGAGAGGTAAATAGGGAGCCTACATCCTGGGAACAAATCTTTACTCCTCACACTTCAGATAGAGCCCTAATATCTAGAGTATACAAAGAACTCAAAAAATTAGACAATAAGATAACAAATAACCCAATCAACAAATGGGCCAAGGACCTGAACAGACACTTCTCAAAGGAGGACATACAATCAATCAACAAGTACATGAAAAAATGCTCACCATATCTAGCAGTCAGAGAAATGCAAATCAAAACCACCCTAAGATACCATCTCACTCCAGTAAGATTGGCAGCCATTATGAAGTCAAACAACAACAAGTGCTGGCGAGGACATGGGGAAAAGGGTACACTTGTACATTGCTGGTGGGACTGCAAATTGGTGCAGCCAATTTGGAAAGCAGTATGGAGATTTCTTGGAAAGCTGGGAATGGAACCACCATTTGACCCAGCTATTCCCTTCTAGGTCTATTCCCTAAAGACCTAAAAAGAGCATGCTACAGGGACACTGCTACATCGATGTTCATAGCAACACAATTCACAATAGCAAGACTGTGGAACCAACCTAGATGCCCTTCAATAGATGAATGGATACAAATAATGTGGTATTTATACACAATGGAGTATTACTCTGCATTAAAAAATGACAAAATCATAGAATTTGCAGGGAAATGGATGGCATTAGAGCAGATTATGCTAAGTGAAGCTAGCCAATCCCTAAAAAACAAATGCCAAATGTCTTCTTTGATATAAGGAGAGTAACTAAGAACAGAGTAGGGACGAAGAGCATGAGAAGAAGATTAACATTAAACTGGGATGAGAGGTGGGAGGGAAAGGGAGAGAGAAGGGAAATTGCATGGAAATGGAAGGAGACCCTCAAGGTTATACAAAATTTCATACAAGAGGAAGTGAGGGGAAAGGGGAAAATAATACAAGGGGGAGAAATGAATGACAGTAGAGGGGGTAGAGAGAGAAGAGGGGAGGGGCGGGGAGGGGAGGGGGGATAGGAGAGGATAGGAAACGCAGCAGAATACAACAGACACTAGTATGGCAATATGTAAATCAATGGATGTGTAACTGATGTGATTCTGCAATCTGTATACGGGGTAAAAATCGGAGTTCATAACCCACTTGAATCAAAGTGTGAAATATGATATATCAAGAACTATGTAATGTTTTGAACAACCAACAATAAAAAAAAATTTTTAAAAACAAAAAAAAAACAAAATTAGCTATATACATATGAGTCTATTGCTGGACTCCATTTCATTCCACTGATTTATAAGTGTATGATACTACATTACCTTTATTTCAGCATCTTAAGTCTTGAAGTCATATAACATAATCCTCTGGATTCTTGGAGTCTTTTCAAAATAATTTTGTCTATTCTAAAATCTCTTAATTTCCATATAAACTTGAGGGAAAGTTTCATAATTTTCATAAAGCTATCTACTGGGATTTTGATTACACCAAATTTATAGATTAATTCAGAATGTTGAATACCAGAAAGATTAACACTGTTAGGGTTACATTTGTTTTGATCCATAGTTTCTTTCAGCAGTGTTTTGCAGGTTTTAGTCAGCAGCATTCCTATATTTTAAAATTTTCTTTCTAAATATGTCATATTCTTTTGAAACTACCATAAATGATATTTTTATATTTTGAATTATTTATTGCTAACATATAAGAATGCAATGTATTTTGAATCTTTATCATGTAACTGTAATCTTCCTAAATTCCATTTATAGTCCTGTAATAGGTTTATTGTAAAACCCTTAGGATTTTCTAAATAATTATAATTTAATCTCCAAAACCAGATATAACCACTTAATACAGAAACTTATTAAGGGTATCTTTTTAAAAAAAATTCCGAAGCTCTGACAATCTTCTGTTGTATTGCATATTCACTGGCTTACCTCTTAAGTGTGTAGAGGCCCCTCACAAGAGGAACCATCAGCTGCCCTGTCCTTTTCCAAGTTCTAAAAGAGCAGCTGCCTGTAGTCTATATTTATATAATGACTTAGCAGAAGAGACAGATGGTTGGGATTTTTCCCCCAACTTTAATCCTGTTTTTCAAATAAAAATAAGTATTATTTGCTTTAAAAAATATTTTTAGTTATAGAGATGGACACAATACATTTATTTCATTTTTTTTAATGTGGTGTTTAGGATCGAACCCAGTACCTCACACGTCTGAGGCAAGCACTCTACCACTGAGCTACAATCCAGCCTTATTTCCTTTTTTTAAAAGACTTTTTTTAAGTTACTGATAGACCTTTATTTTATTTATTTATACGCGGTGCTAAGAATCCAACCCAGGGCCTCACACATGCCAGGGAAGTCCGCTACCGCTGAGCCCCAGCCTCAGCCCCAGCACCCTTATTTCCTTTTTATGTAAGTATTTTTGTTGTTTACTCTCAAAGGAACAATACAGAAAGGCATTAAAACTGATTAAAAAATCACTCTCAGGCTCTTTTTCTGACATAACTCTTGCACATATCTTAGTAGAGGGAAAATGGAGAGAGCATTGGTATAGCCAAGAAAAAAGCAATAAGAAAAAAGTGTATCCCAGAAATAGAGGAGAGGGCACGGCAATTCCCCAGTTCTAGAAGCAAGAATGGCCAACATTCTGGTGAAAAGACACTGCTCTTCTCCGATAGGCAGAGAAAGGCCTAGGAATACACAAAAGCCACAGCAACAGGACCCAGGATGCTGATGTCCAAAGGCCCTTGAGAGAAGCTGGGGCCTTGCCGCCAAACCACGCCCACTCTGGACGGCGGGAGGGGGCGCGGGACGCGGGTGGAGACGTTGGCGGTGACGTAGCCTCACGTGATCCGTTGCGCACCTCACTACAGCGGCAGTTCCAGCGTTCGCTCGCTCCCACTAGGCGGTAGCTGCGCAGGTTGCCCTTTCGGCGAGCGGGCCGGGGGTGGCCCAGAAAAGTAGGAGGCGCCGGAGAAGCGGGTAAGGACCCGGAGGGGGCCCCTGGGGCAAGCAAGGGAGAGCAGACCCCTTCCTGGGGGTCCAGCTCCTTCTGGAAAGAGACTATCAATGAGACACGCAGCTCCCAGTCCAGCAGAGGCTCCGCAGCGGCGGGGGAGATGGGGGGACGGTCCCGATCCCCTGGAAACACCTGTCTGCGCCAGAACCCAGCATTTTCCACACCCCTGCCCCGCCCCCGTCGTCTGGTGCAGAAAATGGTGGTCAGCTTGGGGGCGGGGCTGGACCGAGTGCGGTGAGGAAGGGGCCGGGGCCGAGCACTAGGCTACAGCAGCCCCCTGTGCCCCCACCTCGGTCTGCAGGTCTGCAGACTAAGAGTCGCGGCGGCGCGGCCGGCGGCGAGAATCCGGAGGAGCAGGAGGAGACGGCAAGGATAGGCCCAGGTGGGTGCGAGGGGCAGTGCTGGGAGGCGGGGAGGGGGGCAGAGGGAGGTGTGCAAAGCCCAGTCTGAGACCCCCAACTCCCCTCTGCATCCCCCCCCCCCGCCCCGTCTCTCCCTTCATCTCTGTCCTCCATTTTGGTGCCTGCGGAGGCCAGGAGATGCATCTGCAGGGAAAATGGTGGGCTTTGAGGGAGGGAGGGGTTGGACCCGGCCCCCTAGAGGGCGCGCGGGGCCTCTCAGGTGGGAAAATGCAATTCACAAAAGGCCTTTCAAATCTAGGCCTCTGTGTTTTGAAAAGTGCGTAGTAGGGCCTCTGTCCTCGGTGCTGATCTGTCCATTAAGGATTCAGTCCCTTCTGTCTCTTGTCTTCTAGGAGTAATGGAGTCCAAAGAGAAACAAGTGTTAAAAAATCTCAGCAAGGAAAACAACCATCAGGAAAATGAAGAAAAGGGTGAAAAGGAGCAAGATGCTAATAAAAGGGAGCCCTTGGCCCTCCCTTTGGAAGCTGGTGAATACTTTGTGCCTAGAGGAAATCGTAGGCGATTCCGTGTTAGGCAGCCCATCCTGCACTATAGATGGGACCTGATGCACAGGCTTGGAGAGCCCCAGGCAAGGATGAGAGAAGAGAATATGGAAAGGTTTGGGGAGGAGGTGAGACAGCTCATGGAAAAGCTGAGGGAAAGGCAGTTGAGTCATAGCCTGCGTGCAGTTAGCACTGACCCCCCTCACCATGACCATCATGATGAGTTTTGCCTTATGCCCTGAATCCTGATGTTTTCCTTGAGGTTAACAGAGGAACCCCTGCTTCCTAAACTTACGTATTTGTGATGAATTTGTTGTGAACCTTTTGATGTTATTTGTATCTTGTGGGTCTCCTGGTACCAGCTTCTAGTTGAATGTTGTGTGTTTGACCCAGTTTGTAAGTTTCTGTCAGCAGGGGACTTTTACATATTGCATGGAAAGATGCTCATTATTATATTGTGAAGTTAATAAAGCAATTTAAAAAAGCATCCTTTTTTACTTAATATATGTGAATAGATATAGTTATATAAAGTAAATAGTGTTGCTTTCTTTGTGTTGGAATTCTAAGGGATTTTTATTTTTATCCATATTTTCACATTTTTGCAAACATTACATTATTTATTGAGTTTAATTACCCTATAAAAGTAATATGAGCACTTACTAAACACTTGTTACAGAATCTCAATTTTAGCTCACTTTTGGGATCTGTTATTTAGAAATAAAAGAGACATCTCTTTAGAGGTAATTTATCAGTAATATGAAGATAATAATCATCTCCATGGTTGCTGTATGGACCAGATGAAGTAATAAGTTTCTGAGCTTTCTCCAAATTTTCATTTAAAAAAATTAGAAAATAAATGTAATGGTTACTATGTGACAAAAGAAAGAACTGCAGTTTGAGCAAGGAGGGGGGACAGATGGCATAGAAAGTGCACTGTGATTAGAAGTGATTATGAGTAAACATTTAAAACATGAAGCCACATTTATGCTTCCAATGAAAATGGAGTAAGAGGAAGTGTATTTACTTCCTAACTGAAGCATCTAGAACCTGAACAAAATATATGAAACAATAGTTTGCAGGTATTAAACATTGGTGAAGAGCAAATCTGAAAGGGGGAGTAAATAACATACACCTTATAATTGTTCACAACTTACTGCATATAGGATTCATAATGTGGAAATAAATGTAAGTCAATAACCAAAGGCCAGAAGAAGAGAAATGTAAGTATGTGATTGTAAGTGTGTAGTCTATGCATTTAATACAATTCAGAGATCCTGATACATTAAATACTTATGGTATACCCCCTAAAACAACCATTAAAATGTTAAAGCTAATAAGACACTGTATGAGATAAAATAGAGTCCTCAAAATGTTAGGTAGCAGCAATGAGAACCAATAACATAGCAGGGTCACACGGTTTCTCTGAAATTGCCTTTAATGAACAATCAAGTAACTTGTAGAACAATAACAGGTGTACTAGTCCTGAGAATAAACAAGTGGAAACAAAGGGAGTCCATTAAGAAATACTTCAAGAAATCAAGAACAATGGGGCTAACTCCTGTCAGGGTCTACCTAGGTCATTGTATAGTTGGGATTTATGGCCTTAGGTTTCTCAGTGTATTTCAGAAAGGAAATTTCATTAATGGCACAGGTGCACTAGGATGAAGTCTGTCCAGTTATTGACCCCAGCACCTGTAGCAACATGAAATTTATTTGTAGATGAAGCCCCACCCCCATAGGATGGCCACAATCACAGTTCTGTAGAGGACCAACTAGGGTCAAAAACTCCCCCACTGTATATAAAGAAGGAGATGAATATCTGATTGGTAAAGACTGCAGAAGGTGGAACCCAGTTCTGATGTAAGCATCAAACAGTAATAAATTTGGAAGCAGCATTGTTTTCTTTGATGTTCTCTGCTCGGAAACGGCCCACGGCCCACTCTCTGGAGTGTGTTTTGCTTGAGCCTTATTTCACTTATAGTAAAATGCTATTCCATGGCTTTTGGTGTCTTGACTTCAAATTTGTTTCATTGGAACATAAGAACTGAGGTTTGGAGCTTCAGCTCCCCACTCTCCTGTGACAAAAATACTCAGTCAAAAATATTACAGGAAAAAGAGAACACAGAGTAGATGGGACAAATGGAAACAAATCACAAGTTGGTTGAATTAAGTCCAAACATACCAATAATTACATTAATGTAAATGATCTATAAACACCTCAATTATAAAGCAGAGATTGTCAAATTCAATATAAAAGAGTAACACAATTATATGCTGTCTATAAGAATCCTATTTTAAATTTAAAGATACGAATTGGTTACAAGTAAAATGATTGAAAAGATGAATAATTTAACTAATCAAAACTTAAATATTTGTCTATACTGATATAAGACAATAAATTATAGAACAGAGAATATCAGGAATAAATGGGGTCAATACATAATTTTAAGTGGCAAATTTGTCAAGAAGACAGTAATCCTAAACATTCACATAGTACAATGCTTCAAAATAAATGAAGCAAAAATTGCCAGGCACAGTGGCACATGCCTGTAATCCCAGCGGTTTGGGAGGCTGAGGCAGGAGGATTGAGAGTTCAAAGCCAGCCTCAGCAACAGTGAGGTGCTAAGCAACTCAGTGAGACCCTGTCTCTAAATAAAATACAAAATAGGGCTTGGGATATGGCTCAGTGATTGAGTGCCCAGCCAAAATCCCCAGTAATCCCCCACAAAAAAAATACATGAAGCAAAAATTCATAGAATTGCAAGGAAAAATAAACAATCCAAATAAAGTCAGATATTTCAAGTGTCTCTAAAAAACTGATAGAATGAGTATTCAGAAAATCAACATAATTCAATAATAACACCAACCTGTCTGACTAGTTGACAATTGCAAAACTTGCAACCAAAAATAGTAGTATATATATTTGTTTCACATGCACATGGAATATTTACCAAGGTAGCCCGTATTCATAGCCATAAAATAAGTTTCAACAATGTTAACAGGATTGAAATTATAAAACCTGTGTTCTCTGAGCACAATGGAATTAAATAAGGAATCAGTAAGAAAAAGATCTCTGGAAAAGCCCCAGTTTTAAAATTAGGAACAAACGACACATATAAATATCCCATGGCTCAAAGAAGAAATGAAAAAAAGAAGTTAATTGGGGATACAGCCCAGTGGTAGATCACTTGTGTAGCATGTGTAAGGCCCTGGATTCAAAAGCCAAAGGGCGGGGGGAGGAGAAATAGAAATTATAAGGTACTTTTACTTTTAATTGCATGGAAATGAAAACACAACATACGATAATTTATAGGATATGGTAAAAGAAGCACATAGAAATTTGTAGAACTTAATATATACATAAGAAAAGAAGAAAGCTGCCAGGTGCAGGGGCACTCTCCTGTAATCAGTCACAGAGACTCGGGAGGCTGAGGCAGGAGGATTATAATTTCAAGGCAGCATGGAAAAGTTAGTGAGATCATGTCTTAAAAAAAAAAAAAAAGATCTGGGAATGTAGTTCAGTGGTGTGATGCTTCTGGGTTCAATCAATCCCCAGTACCACAAAAGTGAGAGAGAGAGAGAGAGAGAGAGAGAGAGAGAGAGAAGAGAAGCCCTACAACTGTTAAATAAATGAATTTTTTATTTAAAATACTTCTTTCAAAGACACTATATTGAGATGGCTTTACTGGTAATTCTGCCAAACATTTAATGATGACATACACTAATTAGCTATGTAAAAATCTTCCAGGAAGTTGAAGAGGAGGGAATATTTCCCAACTTCATTTATGAGGCTAGAATTACTCAGATAATTAAGCCAGACAATTGCATTACAAGGAAAGATAATTAGAAATCAATCTTCCTCGGGATCATATATGCAAAGATCATCTTTTTTTCCTTCTTTCCTTTCTCCAGTGACAGGATTGAAAACAGGGCTTTATGCATATTAATCAAGTATTCTGCAAAAGAGTACACTCCCAGTCTTGTGCAAAAATTTTTAAAACGTCAGTAAATGCATTTATGACTACTCAAAGTTATCCCCACTATTATGTATGACTATAATGCATTAACAAAATATTTTTAAAAGGCCCCCCAAACAAAAAAATAGTAAAATCAAATTCAATAATATATAAAAATACAATACATCATGACCAAATAAGTTATATCACAGGAAGCCAAAGTAGGGTTAATATTTGAAAAAAAATGTAATTCAGTACATTACATACTGAAAAATAAAAACCATGTGATCATCTCGACCAAGAGTACAAAACAACATTTGCTAAAATTCCAAATCCTTTAGTGATTAAGATACTTAGCAACTCAAAAAATTAGACAATAAGAGAACAAACAACCCAATCAACAAATGGGCCAAGGACCTGAACAGACACTTCTCAGAGGAGGACATACAATCAATCAACAAGTACATGAAAAAATGCTCACCATCTCTAGCAGTCAGAGAAATGCAAATCAAAACCACCCTAAGATACCATCTCACTCCAGTTAGATTGGCAGCCATTATGAAGTCAAACAACAACAAGTGCTGGCGAGGATGTGGGGAAAAGGGTACACTTGTACATTGCTGGTGGGACTGCAAATTGGTGCAGCCAATTTGGAAAGCAGTATGGAGATTCCTGGGAAAGCTGGGAATGGAGCCACCATTTGACCCAGCTATTCCCCTTCTCGGTCTATTCCCTAAAGACCTAAAAAGAGCATGCTACAGGGACACTGCTACATCGATGTTCATAGCAGCACAATTCACCATAGCAAGACTGTGGAACCAACCTAGATGCCCTTCAATAGATGAATGGATAAAAAAATGTGGCATTTATACACAATGGAGTATTACTCTGCATTAAAAAATGACAAAATCATAGAATTTACAGGGAAATGGATGGCATTAGAGCAGATTATGCTAAGTGAAGCTAGCCAATCCCTAAAAAACAAATGCCAAATGTCTTCTTTGATATAAGGAGAGTAACTAAGAACAGAGTAGGGACGAAGAGCATGAGAAGAAGATTAACATTTAACAGGGATGAGAGGTGGGAGGGAAAGGGAGAGAGAAGGGAAATTGCATGGAAATGGAAGGAGACCCTCAGAGTTATACAAAAGTACATACAAGAGGAAGTGAGGGGAAAGGGAAAAATAATACAAGGGGGACAAATGAATGTCAGTAGAGGGGGCAGAGAGAGAAGAGGCGAGGGGCGGGGAGGGGAGGGGGGATAGTAGAGGATAGGAAAGGCAGCAGAACACAACAGACACTAGTATGGCAATATGTAAATCAATGGATGTGTAACTGATGTGATTCTGCAATCTGTATATGGGGTAAAAATGGGAGCTCATAACCCACTTGAATCAAAGTGTGAAATATGATATATCAAGAATTATGTAATGTTTTGAACAGCCAACAATAAAAAAATTAAAAAAAAATAAAAAAAAGATACTTAGCAACCATGAATAGGTAAAATACATCCCCTTACCAAAAAAAAAAAA